GGGGGGAGGGGTGGAGGCTAGAAATTTTGCCCCCCCCCCTCCCCCCACAGACCGTGACAGACACTCACGTGACCCATCACAGACCGTGCCAGACATCTTAATTAATTAATTAATTAATTAGTATTTAATTAGTTAATTAATTAATGTCTAATTAACTAATTAACCGTCACAGACCATGACAGACAGGGTTTGGGCCCATCACACCGCGTGACAGACAGGCTTTAGACCCATCACAGACCGTGACAGACAGGGTTTGGAACCATCACAGACCGTGACAGACAGAGTTTAGACCCATCACAGACCGTGACAGACAGGTTTTTAGACCCATCACAGACCGTAACAGAGAAACTGCAGTTCTAAACCATCAGGTAAAAGGTTAGCTACAAATGGATTGCAAAGAAATGGAACAAAACGATTTCCATTTTTCTTCCAAATACAATCTAAATCAGTTCCATGTTCCTTTTCATTCAAAATATTGATTTCTTGAGAAACAAGAACCGAAATGCTGAAAGCATTCTTGAACAGTGCAGTTGCTATTTGAGGCAGTAGATACTGGGACTTAGTTTTTTGGGATTTATTGAAATTTTTTAATAAATCCCTATACGTTTTGGAATAAATCTCACTCAATTCTTCAATACACGCATGTATCCTCCAGTATTAATGCGCTGAAATTCTGACACAGTTAAGAAATCATAATAAATCCTCAATAATTCAATACAGCCCATTGAAAAAATAAATCCAAAAAAAAAAATTCCGGTATACCCTCGTGATTCATTTTCCTCATTTCTGTGCAGATTTTCAGTATTTCTTTCATGACAATTTTAGATGCAATTGGATTTGAAGAATAGATTAGTTTTTCGAATGATTTTGTTCACTATCCAAAACTTTTTTTAAATTTGTTAAATATCGGGTTTTTATCATAATCCACTTTTCAGGAGGAATATTGTAACTTCTCCTGGATTCAATATAAATCAATGATCTCTTTTGATTTTAAAGCTCAAAGTCAGACGCAAATTTTGTTCCACTATATTTTTCAAATATGATACCTTGGATAAAAACAGTCGAAATTAATGTAGTGCTGTCAATTGGAGGATTTTTTAGACATATGCACATTCTGCTATCGGTAACACATGTTCTAACACTAATCAATTTGAGAGAAATCATTTCTTCGTTTATTGCCGAACACGCTGAATTTGATGCTAACACCCTCTTCTTTCGCACAAGTTCCTCGCTCTTCGATGGTCCTTGGCTTGAATGAATGTGCTGACTTGTGTCGTATCAGAGTAAAGGCGTGTTCATAGCTGACCCAACTTTTCCACCATTATTCAACTTCAGCTATTGGGAAATAATAGGACTAAACAATGAGTGCGAATGAAAACAGAAGGAAGAGAAAATACGTCCTTTCGTCTTTCGTGGGACTCAAACCGTGAACCTTCTACAATTCGACAATTATACTAAGCTCATTCGATTAGATTGGATATCTTTTCTTTCGTTGAGCATCGTACACTGTTAGCCTGATTCTGACAAATATCATTGTAAAAACCAACGAATTCGGTTTTTTTTAGTCAGCAGCTTGAGCCACTTAATATGTCCTCTATAGGAATCAGAAGCTTTTGTCAAAGACAAAACAATTGGAAAAAAAACTTTCAGTCTAATTCCTACGACATTAAAATATGAAATACAATTGATTCATTGTACTGATGGAGGAGAATCCTAGCAACGTAAATTATATTATTCATGAAGGTCAAACAGCCTAATACATCGAAAAATCTGTAATCGTCTGTGATGTTAAGAAACCGCATCCATTTTGCTCGTCGGACTGTCATACTGTGTAAGACAGATAGGGGACTAAGGTTCACTTCTCTCGCTGTACATTTCTACACTAATTTCCAATCGTGTTTCACAAAATGCGTGACTAAGAGGGAGAATAGAACTAATCTTTCTTGGATTGAATCGTCTTCACTAGATTAGAATCTCAAGGCAAGCTAGAAGCAAAATGAAACTTGAGAGCTTAGGTGTGAATTTTCCCTTCATCCACATTCACGGACATCCCACCTGTGTCACATTGACAACCACACTGGATTCGCTGCCATATACAACGTTAATGCCTTTAAATCATCTCGAGTAATGCATTGATGCTTGTCACGATTTCAGTCATGTGACTAGTAATAGATACTATCCCAGAGATTGTTATTATTGGTAGACTGTTCCTTCTAATTTATGCTAACAAGGAAACCATCGGAGATGACATCCTCAATTTTGCTTCATTTATATCTCATTCGATAGAATATATCGAGATAGTAAAATGTCTTCGAAAATTTCTGTCTATAGTTGTTTCTTCAAAAGTTATAGCCATTTTACTGAAGTTTCGACCCATTCCTAGGTATTTACAGAAAAAAATGAAATTAGGAAATTTCGACCTAAAGTTTTGTCCATAGATAGTTTTAATGGCTCTTAGAATATTCGGAAAATTTCACCAAAAAATGTTCATTTTTCGAAATATTGATTCTCGATTTTTGTGATCTATTTATGACAACCGACTTTTTTTTGAAGAATCAATATCTCGAAAAATGGACATTCTTTTTGGCTAGAGCTTTCAGAATATTGTAAGAGTCGTTACAGGGATCTAAGGGCAAAACTTCAGGTCAAAATTCCATAACTTCATTTTTTCGGTAAATACCTCTACGAATAGGTCGAAAATTCAGTAAAATGGCTGTAACTTCTGAAGGAAGAGCCGTAGACAGAAATTCTCTTAGGCATTTTACTATCTCGATATATCTTATTGAATGAGATATAAATGAGTCAAAGTGGCGGGTGTCACCTCGAGTAGCTCTCTCGAAAGCGGATGTCAATAAATACACCAACTCCAACTTAAGTGGTAGTTTTTTTTAAGTGTTATTCTTGCCCGTACTACTATCTGGACTTCTAGAGTGTCATGCGACTGCATTGGCTGTATCCTATTATTCTCGTCAAACAACTATTTTACAATTCTTGTAAACATTTGCCTGCTAGTAAATGTTCTTCGTGATCTTGCCGTAGTGCTCAGTGATAACTTATCGTTCCTTTATATGAATAGCTTATAGAAGTCAATTGAAGAACATATCCATAAATTAAGATTTGACTGTGGGTGTGACTGAAAGGAAGAACTCTTCTCAAATCCACATTTGCACCTACAAATAGGTTAATTCTAGAAAGCCTATCACATGAAAACACATTAAATGCATAAAATTGACAGTTTTGATGGATGAGATTTGTGCATATGGAGCGTCATTAAAACAGAACTCTGAATAGCAGAAGCGTTGCCTGTTGAACAGACATTATGGTTTTGTAGACTTTGCATGTCTACGAATTCATGACGCTCAAAGCACTTGAACGTGTGTGAAAATACAAATGCTCATTCCCATTTGCGATCGATGAAAACATGATAATTTGATGTGTTTCGTTAAAGGTGATAATGCTGACCAGAATAATGGGAAATTATCAAACAATGCTATGCATGAAAGTTATGATGTCCAAGAGGATCAACTGATCGAAATTGATGAACAACTTGTGGAAACAATATATCCTACAATTGAAATCATTCAGAATAGCCATCATGATCATATTCTTCTCACTGGATCAACGGGATTTCTGGGCACATATCTCTTAAACGAATTGTTGAAGCAAACCGATGCAAACATTTATTGTCTCGTTCGTTCTCCGATATGCACATTAACATTGAAACCTCGTGTTATTTATCTTATCGGAGATTTAACTCTCCCCCAACTAGGACTCGATAACCAGCAATATTTTCAAGTCGCGTCGAGGCTTCGATCAATTTACCATTGTGGAGCTTCAGTTAATTTCATCCAACGTTATGCTGATCTTCGGGCTGCTAATGTGCTCGGCACTGTTGAGATAATCAAACTAGCATGTTTGACTAATGCTCGGATCAACTATGTATCTACCATGAGTGTTGTAGACGACAAAAGTCGAAATGGTTATACTCAAAGCAAACAAGTAGCTGAACGCTTGATGAAACGAATAAATGAAAAGGGTTTGATAATGTGTATTGTTCGTCCAGGTAAGAAAATTCAGTTTTGTCAGCTCATAAATTATGTCTACATTGGTTTTTAATGAGACAGATTTAATATCGTGGTGCACATCAACAGGTGACTATAACAAACGGGACTGGTTCACTCTTCTTTTCTTGGGTCTAATAGAGCTTGGCTTGGCTCCTGATATCAACAGCAAGATTGATATCACACCAGTTGATCTTATGAGTAGATCAATAGTGACTATAGGAGAAGCGACGGACACCGTAAACACAACTATCAACTTGTCTGCGACACATACAATTACTTTCAAAGCAGTATGGACAGAAATCTGTCGACAACGCAGGGTAGCGCCATACTATTTCAGTGTGGTAGAATGGCGTCAACAATTCCATGAACGACTCAAAGTCAACCCAGAGCTATCGAATAAGTTATTCATTCTTGAGACAATGATAGATAATTTTGCAGGAGATACAACGGCCAACATCGACGTCGATTCTGATCTCAATCTGCCGCTGTTTGTGACAGCATTGCTTCGCAGTAACAATATTCACTAAATTGAAAAGATGCTGAGTCTTATCGAAACTATTTGAACAATATCATAGCTTACATTATACGAAGAAAATTAACTACGATATAATACTCTGCTTAAAACTCCGTAGAATTCGCCAATTAATTCATTTTTCTATTTATATAGAGCTCATTACCATGCTATCTATTCTATGAAATAAAAAAGAACGGGCGCTTGAATCTATTGGTTACGTGAATTTGGAGAAAATGATTTCATTTTGAAATGAATCACGCAGAATAAACAATCTGATTGACATTGAAGGCGACCAGTTGCTAAAAATATTAAGAGAGCAGATGCCGCATTCCAGAACTACTCACCCGATAATAAGAAACACGGAATGTTCTTTACAGAAATCGCTTTGCATCCGTCAAGAGACTTTTCATTCTTCAAACAGTACATATGTCAGTAGATAAAGAGAAATCAACAATTCGACCTTGAAACACAGCCTGTTAATATCTTCTTGATTTTGTGGAATTCACATATATTTTTCG